GTTTCTTTAAAAATACACTCTATCACAATAGTAATATTTAATTGTCTTACTATTGTTAAATTGTCTAGACATCCTAGGATAATAAAATAGTAATATTTAATTGTCTAACTATTGTTAAACTGTCTAGACATCCTAGGATAATAAAATAGAAATATCTAATTGTCTTACTATGGTTAAATTGTCTAGATATCCTTGGATAATAAAATAATGTAGCCGGGCTAGTTCAGGGGGGAAGCGAGCTCAGTTGTTATATAAAAAACAATGTTCTCAGTTCATAACTTTAATAATAAAACCCTGTGAAGTTATTAGAAGACAATAACTGGTGATGAAAAAGAATAAAGAAGAAGTAGATATCCAGTATTTCAAGGAGGTTGAAATATACTTCCTTCTTCTTTAAAGACTTAAATAAAACAACCAAGTTTCTTTAAAAATACACTCTATCACAATAGTAATATTTAATTGTCTTACTATTGTTAAATTGTCTAGACATCCTAGGATAATAAAATAGTAATATTTAATTGTCTAACTATTGTTAAACTGTCTAGACATCCTAGGATAATAAAATAGAAATATCTAATTGTCTTACTATGGTTAAATTGTCTAGATATCCTTGGATAATAAAATAATGTAGCCGGGCTAGTTCAGGGGGGAAGCGAGCTCAGTTGTTATATAAAAAACAATGTTCTCAGTTCATAACTTTAATAATAAAACCCTGTGAAGTTATTAGAAGACAATAACTGGTGATGAAAAAGAATAAAGAAGAAGTAGATATCCAGTATTTCAAGGAGGTTGAAATATACTTCCTTCTTCTTTAAAGACTTAAATAAAACAACCAAGTTTCTTTAAAAATACACTCTATCACAATAGTAATATTTAATTGTCTTACTATTGTTAAATTGTCTAGACATCCTAGGATAATAAAATAGTAATATTTAATTGTCTAACTATTGTTAAACTGTCTAGACATCCTAGGATAATAAAATAGTAATATTTAATTGTCTAACTATTGTTAAACTGTCTAGACATCCTAGGATAATAAAATAATAATATTTAATTGTCTAACTATTGTTAAACTGTCTAGACAGCCTAGGATAATAGAATAGTAATATTTAATTGTCTAACTATTGTTAAACTATCTAGACATCCTAGAATAATAAAATAGTAATATTTAATTGTCTAACTATTGTTAAACTGTCTAGACAGCCCAGGATAATAAAATAGTAATATTTAATTGTCTTACTATTGTTAAACTATCTAGACATCCTAGGATAATAAAATAGTAATATTTAATTGTCTAACTATTGTTAAATTGTCTAGACATCCTAGGATAATAAAATAGTAATATTTAATTGTCTAACTATGGTTAAACTGTCTAGACATCCTTGGATAATAGAATAGTAATATTTAATTGTCTTACTATTGTTAAACTGTCTAGACATCCTAGGATAATAGAATAGTAATATTTAATTGTCTAACTATTGTTAAATTGTCTAGACATCCTAGGATAATAGAATAGTAACATTTAATTGTCTAACTATGGTTAAACTGTCTAGACATCCTAGGATAATAGAATAGTAACATTTAATTGTCTAACTATGGTTAAACTGTCTAGACATCCTCGGATAATAAAATAGTAATATTTAATTGTCTAACTATTGTTAAATTGTCTAGACATCCTAGGATAATAGAATTTAATTGTCTAACTATGGTTAATGGTAAGGAGAATACCAACCTAACATATGAAGAGCACAATGAGATCTGGTGGCTTTACAACCCATTCTAGTAGGAACTGACAACTCTGGTTTAAATATATGACAATAGCCACTATTAACCAGACGTAAATCTCTAGCATCAGTAGATATAACATTAAAACTCTGCACGTCATGAGTTGGTGGATAATATCTGAAATAAAGTAAAATTATTTGGTAAGAACTGTGAAAATATAACAAACCAATAGCAATCTTCTACTCAGTGAACTATCTGAGCAATTTGAAAAAATTCATGTCTTTCAATCCAATCTAATATAAATTGCATTTCCCCAAAAAACCTGTCCAGGATAAAGACCATCTCAATCAAAGGATTATAGGCAACTACTTTTTTACTTTACAAACTCAATTTCAACAATACTTACGACCAGAGTACATCATAAACAGGATCTAAACAAACAGCATGTTGACTAAGATCAACCTGATCTGATGAACTGAAACTATACGATAAATATCACTCAATTAATGCTGACTACCTTTTTAATAACTCTTCAATATCATGAATCATGAACATAGTACGGTATTAATTCTTCAAAGATCATGATCTAGGACCTCAATCTATCAAAATTCCAGGCTAGTTTCCCAAAATATTCTGACAATTATTGTTCGTTTATTCTTGGAAAAATATAATTTGCATGACTTTTTTTTAAGAACGATCACTGAGGCAATGATTTGAATGTCAATTTTTAAGTGAGAAATTTGTGCAAACCTTTTACAACTTCCATCCACTTTACTGATCATTAAACATTTCATTATACCATGATGATCTTTTCCTCGTGGTATTAATCCTGAAAATAATATAACAGGTTACTTTCATCTATATTAATATGGTTAAATTGATTTTCTGCTCAGCAGATTACCTTCAACTACTATCAATTTACCAAGTCAGGTCCTATCAGCTTTATGAAGATATGATTAAAAGACTATTTATTTTCAAATCAAGCCAATCTAGAGATACATCTGCATTAATTGGGCACAGGCTATAAATTTCTTCTTAACATGCCCTACTAACATGGTTTTAAATTTTCTGGAATATCAAAACAATATTAAGACAATATCAAGAAGATGTTTCCAGATCTCAAGAAGATAGATTCTGTACTCTCTATTCTTGCAGCAAATAAAAATAATAATAAAAATTTACACTCTTACCTATAGAAGTAGAGTTGGCAAAGACACTAGATCTTGTTAGAGTATGAGGATTAATTAAAGATTCATCAATTCTCATAAATGTCTGATCACCACTGGCTCCAACCCATGTCGCTCTTCTACCATATTTAGATCCTAGAATTAATATTGTTACATCTGAAGTATTATTTACTATGACAACAGTTGTAAATGGAATGATGAAATATTGCCACAATTCATCAAGTTTGTATTGGAATTTCGAAAAGGAATATTATGCAATTTTTTTCTTCACTTTGAAAAAGAGTGGGATTGTTGCTTTAATAATGCCAGTTAGCAATGTCTAAACCAGTAAGATATTGTTAATATAGTACATACCAACTGATACTAGAGGCCCTGGTACTGTATGAAATAATGAACTACTGTTATAGATTTTACTTTTAGCCATATCACTTCTCATTCTTCCTAAAGCACCTTTCTGTTAGAAATAAATCATTATTGACACATTAGTCAATCAATAAGTCACTGAATGCTACTAGTATAATTTATCATATCATTTACCACTTAACATGTGGTTAGTCTACAATCTAATTAATTTCAGAGTATGGACATTACTTCTGTAAAATGAGATAGAATCATAAATTAAGTCTTTTACAAAAATATTTTCAAAATAGGACATCATACATACACTATAGGATCCACAAGTAAAAACCTCTCCACTAGACAATAGTATTGCTGTATGAGTACCACCGGCTGCTATCTGAGTAGCTGGAAATGGTAGATCTATTTTTGTTGGACTGCCCCTAAAATACAACATTGATGACAGTATAACTCCAGCTGATATTGTAATAAATCTACCCCCAAGAAATCACATTTTGCCATTCTTTTAGTGTCATGGTTTTAAGATCCATCAGCAATATAGATATAGAAAATCAACTTTTAACAGTTTTTCACTTTTTCTGCAAAGGTACATAATTCCCACCAGCATCATTCTGTTACTGGTCCTCAATACTTCATTTCTTGATTTTTGGAAAATAAGGGGCCTTGATTAACAGAAAGGAAATAGGAAATCTCTCTACAAGTCCTTAAAGCTATGATAATGTAAATCATACCTGATAGTAGTATCCCCTACACCTAGTTGTCCACTAGAATTATTACCAAATGTATAAACATCACCATTTTGTAGTAATAATACTGAAATAGTTTGTAATAGATATCAAACACAGTCACTGTGGATTTACATCCTAGTCTGAATCAGTGTCAATTCATCCCTTTGTAGTAGAGAGTTGGTCCTACCTGTATGATGTAGACCACAAGCTATTTGAGCCACAGGTATATCTCCTGTATCCATGGTAACTTCTGCTGGTGGTAAACTAACTAATTTAGTATAATCTGATTCCTGATCTGGAGCAACTTCTACAAAAAAGGAAAGGTCTATAGATACTATTTATTTTTTTACTCAGACCACTCCGATAGGCAGGGATTCTAAATTAAAGTAAATTCTTTATTTCTCTGTGTGAGATTTTTTATATCTGTCTTGAACATACAATAATTCTTAAAATTATGTCTTTTACTTTATCAATGAAGTGGATTGTAAAAGTTACTTTATACATCAATGTTATCAGTACCTCTACGTTTCTCTCTAGCCAGTCTTTGTTGAGCTCGTCTTAATTCAAACTTTCGTTCTAACCTACCACTAATTTGACTCTCTGGTTTTCTTCCACCTGAAATTAATTTATCATATCTGATTGGTTAGTTTGAATATACTTTAGATTACCTACTTGAATATGTGAAAATACAATCAAAAACTAGTCAAATTGTAGGTGAAAAATCACAATGAAATACCACAAACCTTTAATTGGATATCACTGCTAATGAAAAAAAATTAACCAAAATTCAAATCATATTTACCACCAACTCCAAAAAATTTCCAAGCCAGCTCCTTATCTATAGAGAAAACTTCTAGCAATCCTCGTTCATCTAGTTCTTCAAGTTCTAGTTTCTCTCCAGCACAAACTCTACAGGCTCCACATTCTGAACACCCTGAATCACCAGACCCACATCCACATGGCCTACAGGATCAAACATATTATCAATTAGGAAATGAAATAAAGTTAAGATCCAAGCCGAATGAGATTCTATTTCCAACCTGAGAGCAGTGAGAAAACCATGTGTATGGATTACATCATCTTCACCATATCAAGCTACTACGAACGTCATACTTACACCCTGACTGCAATAGGCACTATCACGCAATCCAGCGAATTGATAATAATAACAATAAAAATTTGATTGGATTGTACACCAGCGAATACAGCAAATCATGACTCTGAACAGAAAAGCTGTAAGCATTATGGTTTTGTGTTCACAGACATTCCATCAAGGCCTCTGATTGGCTGTATTCCCTAGTGTACAATCCAATCAAATGACTTCATTTACAAAACTTCCATGATACAAGTAAGGTGACTATTGCAGTCAAGGTATGAAGTTCGTAATAGCTCGACATTGTGAAAATACATTTAGACAAATTAACAACTTGTATGATCTGAACAATCATCAAGATTCATTCATTCATTCAAGTATAACTTAAAGTATGATGTAAAACTCCATTCATTTCATTTCATTTTCAAAGTATAACTTACATGCCAGGATTTTTATCAGCTCTACCACTGTTAATACAAGTTACACCATAGCCTGTACATTCACCACATACACTACATACCATACATTGATCAAGTTTCCATCGATGTTTACCTACATTAACAAATGGAACTTTTTCACAAGAGTACAATGAGTTCTTTTTGTGGATTTTGCCATAGTTATTTATCGCAGTACATAAGAATTCTAGGGCTATATAACTAATTGTTTTCTTTCTATACTAATTTGCTAATCTAATAACCAGTAAGCTGCAATATTTTTTTGTTTATCCCTCTTAAATCAATAAAGATAAGTCCCAGTGATATAATGTGTTTTATTTTGGGAGGACATGAGTTTCTGGAATGATCACTCATGAAATCCACAAAGAATTGGTTTTTGGTTGCTAATTGTAGAAAGTTCCTACCAGCAGGACATAGATGTTCTTCTGCATCATTTTCTTCCTCTTCCTCGGCCATTGTTACATTCTGACTTGCTGTAAAAATAATAATACCTGTTTATTATAAGCTATATAATAAAGGGACATAAGAGTTTGGACAAGCTCACTATTTCACATAACATGATACCACTCTGCATTTAGGGGTCACAAAACCAGATAAAACTCTCAAGTTGGGGGTATTATAAGAATCAGTCTTTCAATACATATTTAGGATAAAACTTACGTATGGCCTCTCTAGAGGCACCAGGAGTGAAATCTCGACCACATTGTCCCTTGTTATTGATACCAAAAGTATAAATCTGTCCTTTGTTTGATAGAGCTACAGCATGAGCTTTACCTAGAGCTATTTGTGTTATTACTACATCTTTTAATTCAGTTACATGACCTGAAATGAAAAGTTTGAAATCAATCATCAAGTTCACAGATGATGTTTTAAACCCACAAAATAAAAAGGAAATAGATCAATCTCAAAATAGGTGTAACGACTAGATGCACAAAATAGCTAATCTATCAAATCGAAAAGACCTACAAAAATACTCAAGATGTGTGTAATCCTTTCTTCCATCGATAAACTTCTTTTATCTATCATTAAAAAAAATAAATTTTAAAAAAAGCTTGTAAAATGGCCAGTTTAAGGATTTGAAGTATAAGTTTGTGATGAAAAACATTCAAGTAGTGAAATCCCAAATCTGTTCCATTATTTATAAGTTATTTTCAGGTTTGGGTTGATTAAACACACTTTTCTGTAATCATACAGCATTGAAATATCCGGAAAATTGATTTATCTTCGTGCCCCATCTACCAATAAATAGGAACTATTAAGGTTATAAGCTTCAATGTAAATCAAATGTTGTAAGGCATAGCTAATGTATTGTCACTATGAATGGATTGTTAGAGCACAGTTATTTAACAATGTAGGAAAATAGGATTCAAGGGAAATAACTCATGAAGGTCAGGTTATAATTTCATGAAAAGATAGCCCTTCAAAAGATAGAATTTCACCCGAATAACAGATTTTAGGAAAATCAAAATATAGGGTAAAGAACTTTGTTTTCACACATAAATATTATATAATATTTAGATACTTTCACTATTTACTGTTTAATATAATATTAACCTAAAACACCTTTTAATACTTTACTGAAATGATTTGAGGTATATATACTGCAAGATGTACAAAACACACTTGTGTTATTAAAAAGGAGAGCCGGTTAGCACTCCCCTTGACAAGGATGGAATGGATCTTCAAGGTCTTTATAACACATATGGCATGCCCTCCTACTTCGAGGGCACCTTATTTTTGAACAAGGAATACTCATATTCTCTAGCATCTACATTGGATATATTGTAAAGTATCCCTCTATAACCCAATTAACTATAGCAGTAAGTTTGAAACATGCTTAGAAATAATTATTTAGTCTAATTGATATATCATCTTATATAGAGATTCTATTATTTAGTCAAGGAACCTGGTAAGTCCAACTGTTGAATATATATACACTTGTTGGCCAATTTTGTTTCTATTCTAAGACGTATCCTTTTAAGTCACAAACCAAGTAAATCATAGTGGAAACAGATGTAAGGAGACTGAAAAATACATAGCCATAGGTATCTATAAAGAGTTATATTATTGAAGCTAAGGAAAAGAGAAACTCACCAGTACTATGGTCACAATGAGCTGTATCTTTACCAAACATAAATACTTCTCCTTCTTTAGACACTACAGCACTACTACCAGTATTACAGGCTGAATACACTATAGTTTTACCTTCTAATTTTATCATCTTCTTAGGTTTTACTGCTTTAGGTTGTCTTCTTCCTTTTGCTGAAATATTTATTCAAAATTTGTCAGATTTGCCTGTTTGATAACAAGGAGAAATATGGATTATACTGGGTTTTAGCTCGATCTGTTAGAGTTCGTAGAATCACATGTTATCAACTGCCCAGTTAAGTTAGAAAACTGATGCTTGACTTTCACCCAAGAGATTTCATCAAGATTCAGGTTGTTCCTTTCCTCATTTTCCTAACCATACAAATTGTAAATGGGTGTATGTAATCTACAGACAAATCACTGAGAATTAAAATTGATATCCTAATTTCTTCATACAGATGATGACCATGTCAAGGAGGAAGAACTTACACAAGCTGGACTCTCCATCCTCCCCTCTTTTAGCTGTGCCCACAAAAAATAAACTACCATCTTCAGCTACCATCAGAGCATGTAAGCCATCGTGTCCCATGGATATCTGTACTATTTTAGGTGATTTAGTAATGGGTAGTTCAGTCCATTTATTAGGTGGTACTGCTACAGGTTGTTTAATACCTAATGACGCAGCTCGACCATTGTATAATACCTACAATCAAATTACAAAAAACAAAAACATATTTGTTAAGATCATTATTTTTTTTTATAAACTTTATCAAGTTTTAATTACACAAATCTGACAATAGATTCTTATTCTGAAACATTAAAGGAGCAAATGTACCATAAATTAGACTGAATCAGATGTTCTTGCCAATATTTAAATTTCTTTTTATAGTTTGTTTTTTACTTTACTTTTCCCTGCATTGAGTTCACTTGATGTTGTTGATATAATCTACAGTGTCCTGCAAACAATTGGCTTACCTTCCCACCAACAGTTCTAATTAAACTAAATTCTTTCCCAACAACTACACTTGCTGTATCTTCATCAAAACCAGTCACTAAAATCAACAATAATAAACATAACCAATGATTCATTCAGTAATGAAAACAATAATAAACCTAACCAATGACTTATACAGTAATGAAAACAATAATAAACCTAACCAATGACTAATACAGTAATGAAAACAATAAACCTAACCAATGACTTATACAGTAATGAAAACAATAATAAATCTAACCAATGACTTATACAGTAATGAAAACAATAATAAACCTAACCAATGACTTAAACAGTAATGAAAACAATAATAAACCTAACCAATGACTTATACAGTAATGAAAACAATAAACCTAACCAATGACTAATACAGTAATGAAAACAATAATAAATCTAACCAATGACTTATACAGTAATGAAAACAATAATAAACCTAACCAATGACTAATCCACCTAGTGATTAAGAAAGTTACGTATTGTTTAGAACGTAATCATAATAAACTTAGGTAGTGTTTAGAACGTAATCATAATAAACTTAAGTAGTGTTTAGAACGTAATCATAATATACTTCAGTAGTGTTTAGAAAGTAATCATAATAAACTTACCTGGTCTTTAGAACGTAATCATAATAAACTTACCTGGTCTTTAGAAAGTAATCATAATAAACTTACCTGGTCTTAAGAAAGTAATCATAATAAACTTACCTAGTCTTTAGAAAGTAATCATAATAAATTTACCTGGTATTTAGAACGTAATCATAATAAACTTACCTGGTCTTTAGAAAGTAATCATAATAAACTTAGGTAGTGTTTAGAAAGTAATCATAATAAACTTACCTGGTCTTTAGAACTTAATCATAATAAACTTACCTGGTCTTTAGAAAGTAATCATAATAAACTTAGGTAGTGTTTAGAAAGTAATCATAATAAACTTAGGTAGTGTTTAGAAAGTAATCATAATAAACTTAGATAGTGTTTAGAAATTAATCATAATAAACTTACCTAGTCTTTAGAAAGTAATCATAATAAACTTACCTGGTATTTAGAACGTAATCATAATAAGCTTACCTGATCTTTAGAACGTAATCATAATAAACTTACCTGGTCTTTAGAAAGTAATCATAATAAACTTACCTGGTCTTTAGAAAGTAATCATAATAAACTTACCTAGTCTTTAGAAGGTAATCATAATGAACTTACCTGGTCTTTAGAAAGTAATCATAATAAACTTACCTAGTCTTTAGAAAGTAATCATAATAAACTTACCTGGTATTTAGAATGTAATCATAATAAACTTACCTGGTCTTTAGAAAGTAATCATAATAAACTTACCTAGTCTTTAGAAAGTAATCATAATAAACTTAGGTAGTGTTTAGAACGTAATCATAATAAACTTACCTAGTCTTTAGAAGTAATCATAATAATCCTACATAGTCTTTAGAAAGTAATCATAATAAACTTACCTAGTCTTTAGAAAGTAATCATAATAAACTTAGGTAGTGTTTAGAACGTAATCATAATAAACTTACCTAGTTTTTAGAAAGTAATCATAATAAACTTACTTAGTCTTTTGAAAGAAATCCTAACTAGTCAAGTAATCATAGTAATCCTACATAGTCTTTAGAAAGTAATCATAATAAACTTACCTAGTCTTTAGAAAGTAATCATAATAAACTTAGGTAGTGTTTAGAACGTAATCATAATAAACTTACCTAGTGTTTAGAAAGTAATCATAATAAACTTAGGTAGTGTTTAGAACGTAATCATAATAAACTTACCTAGTTTTTAGAAAGTAATCATAATAAACTTACTTAGTCTTTTGAAAGAAATCCTAACTAGTCAAGTAATCATAGTAATCCTACATAGTCTTTAGAAAGTAATCATAATAAACTTACCTAGTCTTTAGAAAGTAATCATAATAAACTTAGGTAGTGTTTAGAACGTAATCATAATAAACTTACCTAGTTTTTAGAAAGTAATCATAATAAACTTACTTAGTCTTTTGAAAGAAATCCTAACTAGTCAAGTAATCATAGTAATCCTACATAGTCTTTAGAAAGTAATCATAATAAATCTATGCAGTAATCAAACCTACCCAGAGACAGTAATATTAATAAATCTAAAGAACTATTTAGTAAAAATTAAACATACCAAGTGATCTGCGATCAGTCTCTGGGTCCATATTATTACAGCCAAACATCTCCATACATTTCCTAGTTAATTTGAGAGGTAATTCATGTATTACTGTGAGAGGTGTCTTCTCTATACTGTACATTTTAACAACATAACAATCCTATAAATAAAATAATAACACCAATAAATACATAATTTCAGTAGTATGATGTATGGCAGAAACGAGGAGAGATATAATCTAATTATGGACAAAACCAACATTTAATTCTGAAGCTAAATTGAGATGCAGATGACTGTGTTTCAGTAGGAAAAAATTCATTTCTATTCAATAGCTTTTTGGAAATGTTATCTAGATAATAGATAGAAGATAAAATACATACATCTTTATCTGGAGCTATTTTACCAACATTTTCACCATCACTAAATAATACCATGGGACCAATATTAGAGGCTGTAAATATTATAAAATTAAAGAGTCATACATGTGCAACTTATTAGACTATTAAACGATTGAATCTAGACTTAAGTCATGATCAACTTTCTTAGCGTTTAAGTGTTAAATAGGCTAAGAATAGGGAAAGTCATCAATACAACAGATTTGCAGTACAATATTTTGTAAACTAGACAAAAGCATATCATGATGGTGTTAATAAAGGACAGTACTTACATTCTAGTAGATAAGATTTCTCTATAGCTAGAGTATCTTTATTAATAACACATAATGATGTGGAGGCCCATTTATCAACACGATACAACAATTTATTCTGAAATGAAACTTCACAATTGATTAAGATCAACTATCACTGACATGCCTACGTGTGTAAGAAGCATAATGAAAAGTTAACAATACTTAGGTTTCAATGATGCATATAACCTTAATCACCAATATTCAACTAGCTATTAATTCAGACTTAGCATCGATCATAATACATGTAGAACACTAAATAACAACATCTATCAATCATAAATGTACATTTAGGAAATTCAATTGTTTGAGCACGCTCAATATATTCTCAATTGAAATAAACTTTTATTCAAAACTGAAAGAAGCTAGGAAATTTTGATTGCTATGTATTTGGTCTTTAATCGTTTTAATTCACAGGACTTTACTTACCCTAACAAAAGCCAGCCAAGTATTTTCTTCAACATCAAAATCTTCTTTTGAATTATATACATGTCCCTAAAATTAAATCAATAAAAAATAGTGATAAATTCTTAATTTTCAGGAACTATTCTTAAAAAAACCTAAGGATTGGAAGTCACCCATAACTCAAGACTAAAGGTGAAGCCAATTATTTTGAAACAAAGGAATCATTTCAACAATAGTTTAACATTTAACATTATATTTTATGTAAGGCCCAACCCTATACATACCTGTATAGTACCACCGAATCCAGAACCAACTTTATATAAACCATGATCATTTACAATATATATATAACTACCATCACTAGCTATAGCACTATTCTCTTCACCACATTTACCTTTAATACATCAAAATTCAGGGAGGTTAAAACAGATAGGTTCCTTCAAAAAAAAGAGCATCAAAACACAGTGGATGGAAACAGGTTCTCTTTAACAGGAAAGCATCAAAACTAAAACAGGCTTCAGGAAACATTATTCTAGAATTTATGTTCAAAATGATCATAAAGTCTATATTACTCATTTGCCTCATCTCTTACCTTTCTTTTGAGTTTTAAATTGAAAAGATGAAGTGAGTGCTTTTTGACGTACTCCCTCATTAAACCAGTCTGGAAGTTGACTTTTACCAATTAATACCGCTTGAACACTTTTCTGTAGAGATGACAGTATACCAGGTACCTGCAACAGAAAATATAACTTATATGTTTAAAAGAAGTAGAAATCTCAGGGAAACAAGTATGACAGAACTAAAAAACAATAGATGTCCAATTTTCTGCTCTACATTATGCTAATGAAAACAGGCGACTTAATGAAATACTACGAGGGAAATTATTTTGCAAGTAAAGAAGCATTAGCCTACTCAATAGCTTGTAGCACAAAGGGCTTCGGTTAATTTCCAATCTGCACGAATAGGCAACGTTTCATTAAGGCCTCTTTTTCTGCATCTCTGAGGTAGAGGAAATTTCATACCAGAATCGGACCACTAGGATTGCAAGCAAATGTAAAGAAAACTAACCTTAATTTGTTGTTGAACTATGGAAGGTGGATTCATCAATAGAGCTGAAATAGCCATCAATAATTTCCCAGTGTCTCCTAGTGAGATAGCTAAACTAATCAGTGCTGAACAAGCCAGGGAAGTCTCTTCTTCTTTTGTTCCTCTAGCTTGTACTGAAGATTGGTCGGTGGCTATACTCATCAATAGATTATACAGATTCTCTGAAAAAAATAAAACAGAATGACATTGGATGTCAACTCACTTCAAGTTAACCGTTTGACTCACATGTACCCACACTCCACAACTAACACTACCTTTTCACTCACCACATAGTCCCACTATCAAAATGATGTCTACAGCAGTGTCAACTCATTTGCTACCTTTTTGCACCGTTTCTATTAGTGTACAGTTCGTTTGCCAATCAATCTTAACAATTAAACACAAATATAATGATGAGATCTATTTCTTTGAGCCATAATAATTAGTAATTTTGACAAAACATTTATCTGTTGTTGCAAACATTGTTCACATACCAACAATTCCAGGAGGCTCTGACTTCATCTCCTCAGGGTGTTGACCTTGTAATAAATCTAGCAATGCTCTTAAAGCTTTCACACATAATTCTGGGTACTTAGATCTTGTTTCATGGATTAACTCAAATACACCATTTAATCCCAAACCAACAATCTGTAATATACAAACTAATGTAATTATCTACAGAGTCTATATTATTTAGACTATATCATGGTGTACATAAAACATTAAATCTATAACAGCCATTAAGAAAACAGTGAAAAATCAACTAAACTGATGTCCTGTTTACAATAACTGGAACAAAACATACCTTAGGTAATTTGATGATACTATCTTTAGCTCTTTCTTCACTCTCTTCCTCACTATCACTACCAGAATTAGAATTACTGTGAGCATGACGATAAATTTTAGCTGTTTCACGTAAACATTGCTGTAACACCATCTGCCTTACACTGGCATAAACATTAAATACAGATGCATTGCCTGGAAGTTCCACTGATGCAATGCCATTGTCTTGTTCTTCCGGACTCTTTTCTCTCTAAAAAATTTAATAAATTCAATAAATGCAATCATTCCTATTGCACCTGGTATATTTTTAAGATGCGCACACACATAATCTAGTCCATGATCATCATATCGGACCACACAAACACCTCTAGTCCTAGTATACTTTATTAATGGCAGTCACTATAAAAAAAATAGCAGTATTTCACTAGCCATGGTATATAGAATATGGTTCTACAACAGATAACCAGTGGTGAATTACTTTTAGTAGGTTACTGTTACCTTTTTCTTTCCTTCTTTAGTCTTCTTTATTTTCTTAGTCTTTTTCTTCTTTTGAACTTTACATCTGAAAAATTTACTTACAAATTTGAGATAATGGGCCTTATGCAATTTAAAAAAGCCTACCCTACATATACAGTGGTGTAACCTATTTTTGTGGAAATAAGGATTCAACACTGAATTTCGTCAAAGTTAAAAAAACGAATTTTTTTTTTATGTCTTAGATCTTTCCTCGGATATTCTACAAAATAATTAAAATTAGTTTATTTCGATTTTCTTTTGAATCCTTCACTTTGACCCATATTTCATGAGCGACCAACTCGGCAACGGCGGCAGAATGCGTCACCTATTTTTGTGTACAATGTTTGATCTATAAATAAGTCGAGAAAAACACATTGTATGGATACCGGGTGGCATAATTAACTTCTCTTAGTATTTATCTTTAATATCAATTCATTATAACTAGAGACAAGTCCTTCAAAGAACCACGATTTTAAAAAAAATAGTGACTGACAAAATAAGATACGTAGCGTGATTTATTGCTAAAAGTCACTGAAACAACATAAGAATATGTCCCATAGAAATTTTCTGCTAACACGGAATCCGGTAGTTGATCATGTGACTTCATTCGATGGACTACATTCTAGCAGACGACACTTGGAATCCCGATTACCGCTTGGGATTATAAGGAAATTCGGCCGATAAAAAATGGTGACGTTTAGTAACAGGGCCTAACTGAAATCCGCCATTTTGTATTTGTCAAAGTATACATTATTAGATTTTACCGTGCTTGAAACTACTGGATTCATTCTACTAGCTGACATTGTACAGAAAACCAATGTTTATCAAAACAAGCAAATGCAGAGGCCACGCAAGGTCGCACATGTAAATTATTAATCATTTCCGGAAATGCACGAAAAATAGGTTAGCACGAAATTAGGTTACTTGACTGTATGCATGACAGTTAATTTTAGAAAATAAGTTGCAGTCTATCACTATGAATGATTATATTATTATTTATGGTAATGGCCTTGGCTTAACCTATCCATTGAACTTTGCAACTCTTTTGTGAATCAAAATATATTCGCAATAAAAAAAAAAAATGAAATAAAGCAAATTTTGCTTTGCAGTACGGCGAAAATGTCAACTTACTTGTTAATCAAATCCTCTCTAGATCCAAACAGAGTAAGAAATTTTTCGCTGAGAATTTCACCTCTCAGATAAGCGTCCACTTCACTTCTAGAATTGTGAAATACTTGTGCAGTGCACATTTTACTGCATTTAATTGTTGCTTCTCATTCGAACATTCTGTCAGCACTTTCAAAGAAACAAATCGCAATGTTCATAAACAATATTATTCAAAGCGGAAAATCCAATTCTAAGAGGCTGACATATTGAATTGATGCATTGTGGGAAATGCAGACGACGCAAGAGAAGATAACTCTTTTTTTCATAACCAACATAATAGAATCATTCTATGAACCAACATTGAAGTGCAAATGTTTTTCGTCACTGAAACTGAAAGGGCACCTGCAAAACTTATGGCACCTGTATCTACTTTCATACATCAATTGATAGAATACTACTTCATTAACTTTTGGGAAATATACTGGGGACGACGTAGGCCTACACATCTATCAGTCCAACATAGCCATAAAAATTTGAACGCCATGTATTAGGCTATGAATGTTGAACTGAACTGTTGAGAAGAAGGCAAAATGTCACGGGAATTTGTTCAGGGACATAGCTGTCAACTGTCATATGTTCTTCTGTCTTTTTAAACAATAAATGCTTCTTGACCTCCTGATTTGGATATTAGTTTGAAAAATTATCTGGAATGCGCATGCGGAGTAGGCCTACGGTAGATAAAATTATCTATTCTTCAAGGATCAAGTTTTAAATTCTTAATTATCATGTTGGTCATCTTGAGTTGAAAGTGTGGTTGTTACTGATAAAAACTTGGAGTGAATTTGGATTTGATGATTTTCCAGGCTGAGTTGAGGTTAGACTTGAAGTTGTTTATGGAGGTTGAGTTTAATATAAAAACATAAAACTACTTTGATGGCAAAGGAGTTCTTCCTTACATCTAGTCTTGTTTGTTGTTTCTTCTGTTTCTTGCTATTTCCTCTAGTTCTGGTAGTAGTCCATACGGTAAAAAGATATGGATTTGATAATTCATCTTTTCCACTGAGGACACTGTAGACCTGGATCATGTCTGATCGTTGTCTTCTATACTCAAGTGAGGGTAGGCCAAGGAATCCGAATTTTTCTAGATACAGTAAATGTTTTATTGATGGTATGATTTTGGTGGCTCGACGTTGGGTGTTTTCTAATGCTTCGATATCTTTTTTAGGGTTTGATACCATACTGAAACTTCGTATTCTAGGTGGGGACGGATCAATGATTTGTAGATCGGAAGGAACATTTCCTTTTTCAGGTGTGTAAAGGATCTTCTGGTCATACCAATCAATCTGTTAGCCTTCTTAATTTTGCCGGAAATGTGTGTGTTGAACTTTAGATTGAAAAGTTACCCCAATGTCAGTTTCTTCTGTGGTTTTTAAAAGCTCTTTTGTGGTTCAATCCTGTTCTGTTAGATAATAGTTAGTTTTAGGGTTGGTATATCCAAAGTGTAGGGTTTACACTTTCTACATTGAACTGCATCTGTCAATTATTAGACCATTCTACAAGGTTATTAATGTCCTGCTGGAGTCTGTTTCTGTCTTCTATTCTGCTACATCGTCCCAAAAGATTAATGTCAACTGCAAAAAACATAATCTTGTATTCAACGGCACTTGGTATGTCATTGGCGTAGACAAGAAACAAGTTGGGTCCAAGCACACTGCCATTGAGAACGCCACTTTCAACCCGAGTCCGTGAAAGCTGGTAGATTTTACTGTAACACGTTGCCTTCTGTTGTTAAGGAAGTTCTCTATCCATTGGTGTATATGGCCTTCAACTAGAACCTCGAGTAGCTGTGTGGTACGTGGTGGAACGTCCCGGTTGAAATCCATATGCTCGGTAGATAGTAGTTTATTTGCCACGAGTTGCTTCATTTAAGCATCTCTAAGTATTGATTCCATTATTTTTCCTAGAGCACTTGTTTCATAGAGAGACAGAGTCGGAATATTACAGTCCTGATCCCATCTTCATAATGTCAATTTATTACGAACTTCGTCTTATAGCCTACCTTGATGCAATAGCTAAATTTCTCATATCACGGAATACAGCAATTTGATCAGATTGTAATCCAATGAATACAGTCAATCAGAATCCTCTTGAGGAAGACTTTGTTTAGTATTGACCATAGAGTTATAAATAATTATAAAACTCTATAGTCAGTGGCAGCGGCAGCCTTCCGAGACTTGGTGTACAAATAATGGACAGACTGACACAATGGGGGACAACTGCTGAGGCTGAATTTAAATTTTGGCTACTCTGTGTTGGTGTCATAGTCGCGAGCCTTTCATAGAGCGTCCTAGCGGGTGCTCTAAAGAAAATTTTAGAAAAAATGAAGTGCGTTCTGACAAATATTGTGTAAAAAAAGGTAGACATTTAGATTTTTTGAAAATAATGTGGTACAATTGGAGGTGCAAACCACTTTTCTGGGAGGGCAAATGACCCTGAGACATCTGATTGGCTGTGCATTCGCTAGCAATTTAATCAAATCCCCACATTTACAACCTTGTAACAATTGCAGTCATCAAAACCTTTCAAATTTTTCTGGCAAATGTAATAGTTTCTAATGTGTTAAAGAGACAATACATATGAGTATTAGACATTAATGTCCTAATGATTTCCAACTTTTATTTATTACAGCTCAATGACTTTTGAGTTCACTTAAGTTCAACCTATTTCATTGAACTGCTATAGGCTATTGTATCAATAAAAACTCTGTGGTAACAGAGTGCTATGACCTCTTTTTGTTGTTATAATTACAAATACTACCAAGACGGAGTGAAGGTGTTTTGTATCCGTGTCCGTAAAAGGTCATATTTGAATGTTACAATCAACCCACCTTGAATGCGATAGCCACTTTTCTGAGTCAGGGCTACCTCATACGTCAGTACGTCAGTGAGTTCGTCACTCCGTCAATGAGTTCGCCACTGCGTCAATGAGTTCGTCACTACGTCAGTGAGTTCGCCACTCCGTCACTGGAGTCCATCAATACGTCGATGCTACCTTACAATTTTGTAACTTTTGTTTTAATAAGTTCTTAAACGAAAAACGACATTTGACGGAGTATTTAAATCAAATTGTCTATAGAACATGTCAAAGACTAAAAAAAAAAATTTCGTACAAATTGGGGAATATCTAATTTCCATCAGTAAACGAAAATAAGATACAAGCTAATGACTTCGATTTTTCGTGTTTTTAAAGCATCGTAACTCGTTTCTATTATTGTATGAACCTATATCAACATTCTTGCAGGATATCGATCTCAATTTGCTTATGGGTCGTGATGGGACCTGATCTTGATGGACTTTGGCATGTTTTGTTATGTATATTGTTGAGAACTTTTCGCGATTTTTCTTCGAAATGGATTGGTGATCACTATAGAAAAAAATTTCTTCTGCTTTTGTCGAAATTTGGAATGCTATATTGGAAATAACTTCGATCTTCAATTTATGTTCAATTAACGGTTTTTTTAG